ATGCTTTATCCAACAAGAGTAGAGTACACATCTTTCTCAATTGTACGTGGAACATTCTCCAGGGTAGATGATGAATTAGGCTGTGAACAAGTCTTAATACATTTAAAAAGATTGAAATCATCCAAAGTATCTTCTCTGATCACAGTGGAATGAAACTAGAAATCAGTAACAGAAGAAAAACTGGAAAATTCACAAATAGGTGGAAATTAAATAAGAGATTACAAGTGAAATTAGAAGATACTTAATAGATGAAAATGAAAACACAATATACCAAAACCTGTGGGAAAATAGTGCACAGAAGAAAATTTATAGCTGTAAATGTTTACATTAAAAACAAAGATCCCAAATAAATAACCTAACTTTACACTTTTAAGAAACTAGAGAAAGAAGAGCAAGCTAAACCCAAAGCTAGATTTTGGAAAGAAATAATAAAGATTAGAACAGAGATAAATGAAACAGAGAATAGGAAGACAGTAGAAAGAGTCAGCAAAAGCAAAAATTGGTTTCTTGAAAATATCATCAAAATTGACAATTTTCAGCTTGACTGACCAAGAATAAAAGAACACACAAATAACTAAAATCAGAAATGGAAGTTGGGGACATTACAATAAGCCTTACAGAAATAAAAAAGACTAAGAATATTATGAACAATTTTCTGTCAATGAATTTGTCAATCTCACCCTTAGATGAGATGGGTAAGTTCCTAGAAACATAGAAACTACTGAAACTGACTCAAGAAGAAATGGGAAATCTGAATAGACATTAAACAGGTAAAGAGAATGGATCAGTAATCAAAAACTTCTCAACAAATAAAAGTCCAGGACCAGGAAACTTCACTTACAATGCTACCAAACATTTAATTTTTTTTTTTTTTTTTACATTTATTTATTTTTGAGAGACAGAGAGAGACAGAGCACAAGTTGGGGAGGGCAGAGAGAGAAGGAGACACAGAATCCGAAGCAGGCTCCAGGCTCTGAACTGTCAGCACAGAGCCTGACTTGGGGCTTGAACTCACAAACCGTGAGATCATGTCCTGAGCTGAAGTTGGATGCTTAACCGACTGAGCCACCCAGGCGCCTCCCCCCTACTTTTTTTTTTTTTTTTAAATACTGACTGCTTAAAAAAAATTTTTTTTGTTTTGTTTAACGTTTATGTATTATTGAGAGAGAGAGACAGAGCATGAGCATGGGAGGGACAGAGAGAGGGAGACACAGAATCTGAAGCAGGCTCTAGGCTCTGAGCCGTTAGCACAGAGCCTGACACAGGGGTTGAACTCACAAACTGTGAGATCATGACCTGAGCTGAAGTCAGATGCTTAACTGACTGAGCCACCCAGGCGCCCCCTGTGCTACCAAACATTTAAAGAATTAACATCAGTCCTTCTCAAACTTCTCAAACTTCTCAAAAAAAAAAAAAAAAAAAAAAAGGAGGAGGAAACTTTCTAATTCATTCTATTATGACAGCCATACTCTGATACCAAAGCTAGATAAAGACATCACAAGAAAAGAAAATGATAGACTAGTATCTCATGAATGTAGATGCAGAAATCCTCAACAAAATCCTAGCAAATGAAATCCAGCAGTGTATTAAGAGGATTATACATCCTATAGCTAATTATATTTTAGTTGCTAGCATCTCCCTACTTCTGTTTTTTCTTTCTACTGCTGCTGTAAATCTCTTCAAAACTTGGGGTCCATATTTATATACCTGATACTCCTTCCCTAAGAATGGTCTTCCCATGCTTATTGAGTCTTATAGTAATATATGGCAGTGTATGTTTCTATCCCCCCTCCCTTTTTTTGTGCTTTGATATTTTACAGTTATAAAATCTTAGTATTATTTTTGCCCTTTTGTTATACACCTCTTTTCCTAGCTTTTCATTTTGAAAATTTTGTATCTACAGAATAGTCTTCACTTGCACTCAACAATTGTTAGCATATTGCCATGTTTTTCTTTCCCTCTCTTGTCTATACACACACTCATATACACATGCACACATACTTTTTAGAAGAAAATGGCAGATGTCATGATGTTTTATCCTTGTAAGAACAAGGATAGTCTTCTATATTATCTATATTACACCCAAGAAATTTATATAGTATCTATTATGTTCCAATTATCCCAATAGTATGTATATTTTTAAAGTTTATTTATTTTGAAAGAGAGAGAGAGAGAGCATGGGCAGGAGAGGGGCAGAGAAAGAGGGAGAGAGAGAATCCCAAGCAGGCTCTGTGCTGACATGGGGCCTGAACCCACAAACCGTGAGATCATGACCTGAGCAGAAACTTAACCGAGTCAGACTCTTAACCGACTGACCCACCCTCGTGACCCTCCCCAATAATATTTTTTTGTAGCAGATTTTTTTTCTTCATCCAAGAAAAAGATCATGCATTGCATTTAATTATCAATTCTTGTTAGTTTCCTTAATCTAAAACGGTTTCTCCAGCCCCTTTAAAAATTTTTGAAGAGTCTAGATCTTTTGTTCTGTAGAATAGTTCATGTTTTGGATTCATGTGGTTATTTTCTTATTAGGTTTAAGGTAAACATTTTTGACAATGGCATTATATACATGATGTTCCCTCCCATTCCATCACATTAGGAGGCTCATAGTGACAGCTTGTCCCATTATTGGTGATGCCAACCAAGTTTGATCACTTGGTTATGGTGGTAGGTAGTCTATAGGATGATACGTTGGGATCCTGACAATTTACCCCTTTACCCCTTTACTTGATGTTCCTTGCCTGAATTGATGAATGCGTTATCTGTTACTATCATTATTCTTTTCAGAACTCAAATTTTCTCGAATTTGACCATCAAAACTCCTGAAGGTCCTCATGACCAGGCACCTCAGTGTTTGAATATCTCCTTGCTATTTATTACAATTCCAGGCTCACTTTGAACTTTTCCCCAACTCTGGATGTAGCTTTTTCTCCAAGGATCTCTGTTTACTTTTAGTGAGAAATAGTATATTTAAAAATGAGGTTTATTGATACCAGAGAATCATAACTTCTAAGCCTTTTCACTGGACAGGTTTTGAAAACCATTCATCCTCTATTGATTGATCGATTGATCATCCATCTCTCCATCCACCCAGAGTTCATACTAATATTTTAGTGTTATTTCAAAAAATAAATACTGTCATATTTCACACTTATTTACTCTTTAGAAGAAAACTAGAATATCACTTTTTGTTAGGTCTTTAAAAGTATTCAGTAGTAGAATAATTAGAGTAGCTTGTGATAAAAGCTTTACTTAGTGAATCATGTTGAATCAGGTTGGTTATTTAATGAGCTCTTATTTCTGTTGTTAATGTAGTTTTGGGGCAGTGCCGTGACAACATTGAGCCAAAAAAATTGCCTATCACTGAGGAGGAGCAGATTTACCCTTGGGATACATGTGCAGCAGTTCATGATGTGAGGCTTTCATTATTACAGCGTTATTTTAAAGATGTAAGTACCCTTTTTTATCATATAGTGATAGTTTGTCTGCAAAATTGATGGTTACTTCTCTCCAGAGTTTTATATTTTTTCTTCTACTAGATATCATTCTAATTTGGAATCTGGAAGTTTATTAGAAAAAAAGTTAATATATGGATAGTAAGGAAATAGGAATCTGTAATAAATAAACTTTTTAGGTTATAAATGTCATACCTATGTTTTAAATGTTATTTATTATAAGATATATAAATTCAGTTCAATGGAATGATAAGTATTACCTCTATAAAAACTTTTAGTTATGGCATGAATATTTTATGAAGATTTTTGCCTCCTTTTACTTTCTTTTAAACATATACAATAAAATCTCATTATGATGCTTTTAAAATCTAAAGTAGGGACAGATTAATTCATGGCTTCTATGGTTTGTTGTTGTGAACTTGATAGGTTTTTTTCCAACTCTTTACATCTAGGGGCTCTATCTAGCACTCAGGTGTTATTGGTCTTGGAAGGTCAACTTAGTTTATTTAGCAGCACCAGCATTGTTAACTTCCTTATAAAATTTCTGTACCATTTTCAGTATTCTCTCAGTGGATTATTAAATGGGGTTTCCATTCACCTGTTGTTTTTTGGATTTACTGTATCTTGAATTAAGTAAATATATAATAATAACTTAAAATAGTTAAAATATGAAGTGAAACATTATTTTTAGTTAGCTATATGAGATGAATATCTTGATACATTTTCACATATGATTCCTTTTTGCCCATAACACACTGGATTAAATGGAAGAAACTAGTAGGAGATGTGGAAGACAGAAACTTAATGAGAATAAGCAGCAACTGACCTAGTAATGATGGGAGTCAGAGTAGGATGTGGTTCAGTAGTTTGGACTGAGGAGAAGGTTTCTAGTGGGTTCTGGAGAAAATGATGGCTCTAGTAACGGAGGCACTGTGTAGGGTAGAAAGAGTTACAGTTGAGAAAAACTGGGGCTTGGTCCTGATTCTGCCATTGCTTAGCCATGTAAGCTTGCCAAAAAAACAGACTAGGACTCCATTTTCTCATGTATCAAATAGGCCTCATATGAGCGTTCATACAGTAACCCACCAGGTTAGAAATTTCTTTAGATCACTGTACATGTTATAAAGGTCAGTATAAATGTAGAGTGGTGTTTTTAATATTCGGGCTAGCCCAGTGAGAGGGCTCAAGTTAGGCCTTATAAGGCAGTTTGGGTTAGGTAGTGAGGATCATGTTCCCATATATTTTCAGAGGCTTTACAATGAAATTATTCTTATTTGGAAAAAGAGGGGTGCCTGGGTGGCTCAGTAGGTTAAATGTCTGACTCTTGATTTCTGCTCAAGTTATGATCTCACGGTTGTGAGATTGAGCCCTGCCTCTCGGGCTCCATGCTGGGCATGGAATCTGTTTAAGATTTTCTCTCCTTCTTCCTCTGCCCTGTTTGCTCCCTCTCTCTTTAAAAAAAAAAAAAAAAAAAGTGTGTGTGTGTGTGTGTGTGTGTGTGTGTGTGTGTGTGTGTGTATGCATACATATGTACACACACATACATTTTCATGCTTTTTCTTTATTCTGTATTGTTTCTTTAAATTTTTGCAGCATATGTATGTTAATTTATTAATCATAGACCAATAAATATCTTCATTTTGAAGAAAACAATGAAACTGTGCCAAGTTCCTCTTTTGCAGAAATTTACTATCACCTTTATTTAGATTTTATTTTGTTGTCATAATCCTGAATTTTATCGTTTCGAATCACTTTAGAATAGATGAGTAAGGATGAATCCTAGAGCCAAGCAGAAAAGGAAAAAAACTTGATTCAATGGAAATATAACCCAGACTTAAGAACAAAATAATTTTGAGGGAAGGGGAGTTCTAATAAAGGAGAGAAAAAGTAGCGTATCTCTTTCTTAAAGCAGCCAGAATAGTTACTCATTTCTAGAAAAAAAAAATCTTTTTTGTAGGAACTTTGAACTGAAATCTGAACTGGACAGAATCTCTGTTGTGTTTCTGTTAATGATTATGGGATTTTATTCTTATATATATTTTTATACAACAGTTTTTTACTTTCATAATGGTTATTTTCTGTATATCTGGTGTGCTCCCTGGACTATATACGTCTAGAGGTGTAGGGCCATTCTTATATTGATTATACGGTCTCCTCAGGGGCTAGCACATGCTGTGTGGTTGTAGATGCTTAGTGGATTTCTTACTGAATTACTCTAGCATAGAGTACCTGAGTTTTGTATACAGGCAGACAGATAGACTGTATGCAGCAGAAGAGTTTCTATTAATGAGCACTGATTCTGATTACAGAATTAAACTATGTAGATTGTTCTCTTCATATCAGTTGCATGCATTTTACAGAGTCAACCTGTAGAGTTTTAGTTGTGTAAGGCAGTAGTGCCCTTGAAATGGGGAGTATTATATTATGAGAGAGAGGACAGAGTAGGGCGGGAGCCCGAGCTTTGGAGTCAGATAGACTTGGGTTTGAACTTGGACTCTGCCATATATAACTGAGTGGTCTTGGTAAACTTTTCATTCCTTTTTTGGTAATGTTTTAATAAATATTGAGGCTATGAAGATTCAGTGGTAAGCAATTCTTAGCACAGTGGTGTGGGCACATTGTTGAAGTCTTCCTAAAATGTTAGTCTCATGTTAGTAAATATTTTCCTGCCTTTTTGTTTTGACTCTGATTCAAACAAGAAATCTAACAGTTACTTAGACAAATGGCATACTGATTTTAGTTTTAAAAGCTGATTTATTAAAATGAAAGGGGCACCTGGGTGGCTCAGTTGGTTAAGCGTCTGGCTCTTGATTTCAGCTCAGGTCATGATCTTACGATTCGTAGGATTAAGCCCTGTGTCGGGCTCTGTGCTGACAGTGCAGAGCCTGCTTAGGATTCTCTGTCTCTGTCTCTGTCTCTCCCCTGCTGTGCTTGGGTGCTCTCTCTTGCTCTCTCTCTCAAAATAAAATAAATAAATATAACATTAAAAAAAGAAGTAAGATAAATTACATTTTTATAATACATTGCCAAAGAGAGCAGCTTATTAACTGACTAAAATGATTCTAAACCTGTTATAGATGATCTAACCATTCTAAAATGATCTAAATCTGTTTCTACTTTAAGCGCTCCAAAACATAAAACAAAGATGAGCAGGTCTCCTATTGCTATTCTGATTTGTAACAATAGAAGCTAGCTCACCTGCTGTGAGTATTTGATTTGTGCTGCTACACATCTTTAAATAGGCTGGAAAGGCATTTTGCACCGTGTAATATTTTCAACTTTCAGATGTTCATGAAGAACATTAGAATTCTTTTAGAACATTAGAACATTCATTTAACATTAGAATTTTGTTTACTATTGTTTAAAGATTATTTGGTCATCTTACATTATATTGTAAAAGTGTCTTTCCAAAGTAAAAATAAAGTTTAAAGCTATACTCAGTTTTAGTGGCTCTCAAATCTTTCATCATGTGCTATCACCCATGTTAGACCTTTTTCCTAATTTTGCTCTGGCCTAGTCATCTGTTTACTACAGACTCTAGAGGGTGAACTGACTCAAGTTCAGACCCAAATAGTGATTGATAGAGGCCAAATGAAAATTCAAAGAGGATTATTTTAGGAAAAGTCTAAGCCTGTGTATAGGTTGAGGGGAAGGAATTAGTAGAGAAGGAGAGAAGGAAGAGTTGAAGATATACGAAAAAGGACATTAAAAAAGTTAACTTGTAGAACAGATTTCAAAAGGGTATTGTAGTTGCTTATATAATCTGGGTCCCTTCTTTATTGTATATTCTATTAAACCCATGTAAATGTTAAGGTACTTTTTGGGGTTATCTTATGACCAAATTTGTAGTCCAGAAAGATGTATGGAGGGTGATGCATTATGGAGAGAAGAAATTGGCATCAAGGTGACCAGTTAAAAAACTTTGTTGAAAAACCTCCTCCCCCACAACAAATGATGCAGACATGAATGTTATAGTGGAAATGAAGAGGAGGGGCCCAAATCATGTTTTATTTAGGAGAGAGAATCTGCATAGTTTGGGAGCTAATACTGTGGTGTAAAAGAAAGAATGTGATGTAGAATAACTCTTAGCATTCTGATTTGGTGACTGAAAAGATTGTGGAGTTTTTAAACCAAGAGGAAAAGAAAGATTCATGGGGGAAAAAAGACAAATTTATGACACATTTAAAACAAATGTTTATTTATTTATTATGAGAGAGAGAGTGTGTGTGTGGGTAGGGGAGGGGCAGAGAGAGGAGGAGAGAGAGAATCCCAAGCAGACTCTGTGCTATCAGCATGGAGCCCAACACAGGGCTCAGTCCCATGAACTGTGAGATCATGACCTGAGCTGAAATCAAGGGTCTGACACTGAACCAACTGAGCCACCCAGGCACCCAGTGACATATTTCTTAATGTTATCTGAGGGACATCAAACTAGAGATTTCTGCTTGGGAGTTGAGTGGTTGTATCTGTCACTAAGACAAGTGATCCAAGTTTGGAGAGTAGTCAAATTTACTGATTAAATCACTCAGAACAGCTCTAGTAAGAAGAGAGTGGTACAAAGAACCTTGAGGAATATAAACATTGAAGGGACAAGAAAGAAAATAGTTGTTATTCCATTGCATCTATCTATCTATCTATCTATCTATCTATCTATCTATCTATCCATCCATCCATCTGTCTATCTATCTATACCACAACTTCTATATAAATAATACTACTATGAACATAGGCATGCATGTATCCTTTTAATTAGGAATTTTGTATTTTGGGGGTAAATACCCAGTAATACAATTACTGGATCACAAGGTAGTTCGATTTTTGAGGAATCTCCATACTGTTTTCCACAGCTGCTGTACCAATTTGCATTCCCACCAACAGTGGATGAGGGTTCCTTTTTCTCCACATCCTTACCAACACCTGTTGTTTCTTGTGTTTTTGATTTTAGCCATTCTGACAAGTGTGAGATGGTATCTCATTGTAGTTTTGATTTGCATTTCCCTGATGATGAGTGATGTTGAGCATCTTTTCATGTGTCTGTTGGTCATCTGGATATCTTCTTTGGAGAAGTGTTTGTTCATGTCTTCTGCGCATTTTTAAATTGGATTATTTATTTTTGGGGTGTTGAGCTTGATAAGTTCTTTATATATTTCAGATACTAACCCTTTCAGCCATAAAAAAGAATGAAATCTTACCATTTACAATGACATGGATGGAGTTAGAGAGTATAATGCTAGCAAAATAAGTCAGTCAGAGAAAGACAAATATCATATGATTTCACTTATATGTGGAATTTAAGAAACAAAACAAATAAGGGAAGAAAAGAGAGAGACAACAAAAGAAATGGACTCTTAACTGTAAAGAACAAACTGATGTTACCAGAGGGGAGGTGGGTGGGGAGGGAGGGGTAAAATAGGATTAAGGAATGCACTTGTCATGATGAGCACTGGATGATGTATGGACGTATTGAATCACTGTATTTTACACCTGAAACTAATAGAACACTGTGTGTTAACTACACTGGAATTACAGTAAAAGAAAGAAGTTGTTAATGTCAGATATCACAGAGCAGGTAAAATAATCGATAGCAGAATAATTTATAGTGAACTATAATATAATATCAAGAGTTTATATTTCATGGGGTAGAGAAAGTGTAATTTATAGTTGCTCTCTTTCATTATGAGCCTAGATATTTGGAAGGTAGAACTTTATGGTATTTCAAGTTTAAAGATACTGCCTTGGTGCTGTCAAGTTGGGTGTTACTTTATATCATAAAAATATGAAGTTCACATTAGTATAACGGTATGAAATCATTCAGAGGTTTATGTGGATATGTTTAGGTATGTTTATGCTTCTTAAAAATTAATGTATTGTCTCCTTTTTTTTTTTTTTAAGAGTTCTTGTCTATTGGCAGTATCAATTGGCTGGGAAGGAGGTGTTTATGTACAGACCTGTGGCCACACGTTACATATAGATTGTCATAAATCTTACATGGAATCATTACGGGTAAGTTGATTTAAAGGTATATGTATCTTTCCAGGTATTAAATATTTTTATAGCATATATATCCCAGTTCATCTTGGGTGATTTTGATTGCCATTTGAACTATTCAGCCTTGTAATTCCCTGACCCCTTCAGCCTTAGGAATTTCATTTTTTTTTTTTTTTTTACTTCACTTTAGCAACTGATTTCCATGGTAGTAATTCTAGACTTTGCTACTCTAGCTCTGAAATACTATGCTTTAATATCCTACTATATCATTTTGTTATATGATCACTCTTCAGATTTTCTTATTTCATTTTCATTAGCGTGTTTTGCTTCTGACATCAAGATCTCTAGTCCTTTAACCCCTTTATATTTTCCCTAGCGTTAGTTCTTCCTAGCCTCACTTTTTTGAACAGTGCCTATTCTGCTCTGAATATCATTCATTTAATCCTCCTCCCTTGGTTTTAGACCCAGGCAGCTAGCCCTCCAGAAAAACCATGAAACTAAGTTAAGTGGTATGTCTGTAAATTTGTGGTTTCCTATATAATAGTGGCTTAAACTAGGGTCACAGATTGTAGCTATTATTTATCGATTCATTTACCTGTCTTTGATCGGTTTCCTCTCTTAGTGTCCCCAGCAGCTATTCCAAACCTTTGCCTCCTCTATCCCAGGCTCTTTGCCTAAACTCCAAGATTCCTTTCCCCTCATCAGATTCTGTCTCTTTCTTTGTTACCGAGAAAACAGTGGCTTTCTGTCACACGCTACCTTAGCTTCCTACTTTGCTGATCTATTCCCTGATAAATGAGTCTGCATCCCAACCAATCCTTTTCTTCTCTACTCTTTGAGATAGTATTCCTTCTTCTGTTCAGGAATAATTTTTCTGTTTATGCTCTAATATTCCTTTCTCCCATTACCTTAGGAGCTTTGATCTATTAGTAAGTAACCTCTTTTTATTCCGTATCTTAAGTTTTTCTGCCCATTCTATTGTTTCTTTTCAGTCCATAAAGATGCTCAGGTCCCTGCCATTCAGAATTCCTTCGTTTGACTTTGCATTCCCCTGTAGCTGCAGTTTTTCTCTTTTTCTTAGCTCAACTTCTTAGAAGTGTGGTCTTCTCTATTCCCTGATTCCTAGCTCAGAAGCAGTGGATTCCTATTTTTCCTTTCTTATCCTTCCCTATCACATTCATTTAGCAAATTCTATTAATTCTGTTTCTTAAGTCTCACTTGACTGTACTCTACTTTCATTATTGTTGCTTCTGCCTTTTTGTGTATGCCTTCATTTCTCATCTTGACTATTGCAATTGCTTTCTTATCAGTTTCCTTACTCCACGTCTGATTTATTCATTACATTGATCTTTCTAATATGTAAATCCGATGACATATGTCATTGGCTTAAAAATCCTTTACTGAATTCTTCCTGATGGGATAAAGTCCACTCTTCTCTGAATGGCATTCAAGGCACTTCATGATCTGGGCTTGCCTGTTGTTGCTTCAGCTTTATCTTTCATCAATTCAGCATTAATAAGCTAATTAATGGTTCCTTTAGCACATTATCCATTTTTCATATATCTCCATTCAGTCGTTCATTCAACAAATATTTATTCAGTGCTTACGGTGTTCCAGATACTTTGATAGACATTGGGGATTCATCAGTGAATAAGACACAGTTCCTTCCCTTTAGGAGTTTACTATGGATTGCATGAGATGGTGTATGTGCTGAGTGTTATGAGGTATACACAGGGCCTTTTTGGAACATCTGCCAAGTGCCAGAACATTTGATGAATTAAAGTGCTTGAGTGATGAGAGATAAGGGAAGATTAGGGGTCATACTGTAGAGGACCTGGTAGTTCATGTAAGGAACTTGGACTTTGTTTAGATAGGTTCTTTACAGAGAGCCATTAAAGCCATTTAAGACTTTTAAGCAGAGATATGTTCAGAAAGATCATTGTGGTAATTGTGTAGGATGGTAGGGGATTATGGTGGGATTGCAGGAGAGTAAGAAAGAATGCAATGAGGTACGAAATGATGGTGGCTTGGGGTTAGTCATGGCACTGGAGATGGAGAAGAGCTTAGAGATTTGAAATATATTTAGAAGAAAGGTCTTCTGGATGTGGTGAGAGATAGCATGTGGAGTGTCAGAGGGAGGAAGGAATCAGGTGATCATTGAAAGATTTTGATTGGGAATAAGAGTCACATTAGGTGGATCACGTTGGCAACAGTATGGTTGGAAGACTAGTTAGGAGATATTAGCAAAGAGAGTAGAAGGAAGTAGATGGAAGGACTTGTGAGATTTATTAATTAGATATTGAGATGGGAGAAGGTAGGAAGCAGAAGGAGCTGTCATGACTCTCTTTTCTGAGATAGGAAGTGTAGCTTTATGCTTCTAGAGTAAAGGGGGCAAGGCTCAGGTGGGTGAAGGGACTTGACAAGTGAGGAGGTGGTTTGGAAGAAACACTTCGGAATTGGGTGAGAGAGTGCTTCATAGGATGTTGGAGAGAGATTGTCAGGAAGTATTCAGGGCTCAGTTGGCATGGAAACAGTTTGTAGCAAGAAGCTATTTCAGTATTCCATAACAACCCTTAATTCAAGTGTAGAATTGGAGAAGCCATACATTGGGTTAATTTTGTATGAAGGTTTTGTGGAGTGTGCATGATAGAAGGACAAATTGACAGGGAATGAGAAGTATTGACCGAAGAGTTTTTGAAGTGGTAGATCGTGTATAGGCAGGAGAGGAAAAGCTTGATAAAGTGGGAAAAAAAAGAGAAACTAGGACAGCTAGGAGTTGGCAGTCAGAATGTAAGCTGTTTGGATTTAATATTTTCAGATACGGACACTTTGGGGTCATTTCCGTATAAGGGGATAGTCATGGTAGCAGGTGCTAGAGTAGAGTGGAGGTCAAAGCTATAAGAAATAATGAGGTCAGAGAGCTGATAGACTGAGATGTAAGATTGGTTGTCTCCGTTACACACTGAAGTTGCACAGGAGGATGACGGGACTTGGAGCGATGAGGAAAACTGATTTAGGTACCAAACTCTTGAGTGATGGAGGACAGTGGATGACAGTAAAAAGGAAGGAAAAGGGTGATGTCACCAAATGACATTAGCTGCAGACATGGGAGAATGCAAGAGT